GTGAAGGAGAAATTGTTAAGTATTGTTAAGTACATTTTATGGACTTAGGGTGATATTGTGGAAGAAAATGAACAAACTTTCTCAAATTTCAGCAGAAGAATTTCTTACCAATTCTGGTGAAATTTCAAATAAACAAGGAATTTCAAACGAAGAAATATCTAATTATCTAATTCATGCTTCACTTTTCTTTTTTATTTCTCCATCTGCTCCTCCTTTAAAAAATCTTAAGATTTTGGCTGCGCCTCGCCGACTCACATACGCATATAACAACATGACAAAGTCGCGAAATATCCACCTCCATTTTGTAACATTTATACTTTAGAAAAATTGCAGGAGAAACCTGAAAGTTGCATTTACATCCTCCGAAAAAATTGAAGCTTTCCGCCTAGTATTTACCCCTTACAAAAATCCCAAATCTGACCTACTTTCAAACGCCTCAGGGCGGTGTGTCCCTTTAAAAAGCACCAAAAATTTCGTCCGTGGTTTCAAATAAGCACCCTTTCAGTCTCAAAATATATCTGACCCGAAGAATGAAATTGGAAAAAATTAATTCTCGAGCTATCTCATCCGCCGATACGAATAGGATTAAGAAGAAGACGTAAGATCCAAGTTCCTCGGCTACTTATCCGAGCCGGTGCATTAGTGGCGCAAGGGCGCGATGCATTATGCGCATCGGAATTAACACGTCGTCGGGCGCGAGACTTGGCCCGATAAACCATTGACCATCGACCCTGCTCCACCACGAAGTCGTAGCGGAGTCGAATGATCGATAAACCGGACCTCCGGTATTACGAGGCAAACAGCGCGATATTACGCCGCCGGTCACGTACATCAAGACGAGTTTTGCCAGGCAAATTGCAAGCGGAAACAGGCGTGTTGTGTTGCTACGTTAAGCTGGAAACAGCGCTGCCGGTGAGTGCTTTCCGTTCCGCACCGCGGCTCGCTCGTTGCGATTTAAAGCGTTTCGTGTATAGCGCAACCCGGACACGGAAAATTTGTTACGTTCGCCCCCGTTTCATTTCGTCGCCTGCCACCGGCATTAATGTAAAAACGCTGTAGGCCGCAGCTCGAACAACGTGTCCGAACGATAATTCTCGCGTATCGCTTCGCTAGTTTGTTAATAAGGAATTGCTTTCAAGCGGAAACCGTGTTTCCGAGATAATCGGACGTGTGATTTTTCATTGAACCTTTTTTTTTTTTTTTTTGGAGTATCGTGTGTGTTGTAGCGATCTGTTTTTTTCTTTTTTCTCTTTTTTTTTGTTTGAGATGGAAGTTTAATTCGGTCGGTGAAATTGCTCTTGCGGATTTTTTGTGTACCATGGCTTTATCTAAAACGAAGGAAATTATCGAGAGAAGTAAAAATAAACGAAGATATTTGGTTTTCGAAAATTTCTCTGCGGAGTTCGCTGCAAGAAATGCTCAGTGTTGTAAAACGTTACTAAAATGAAAAAAATTCATCTTCAGTTCAATCCTACATTTTCCTTCCGGTTTCTATTAAAATTCTAAAAGCTGTAACTGAAAATTTGCCAATTTACGTAAATATTCCAAATTCTACCGACTCGTGAGAAAGGGTTATCCCATCTTTCATTCGAATCGAATATTCTCTCTTTTCCGCCAAAATAAGAAGAAGATACCTCTTCAATTCAGTCTCACATTTGCCACTTTCCATCAAAATGCTAAAAACTGTAGCTAAAAATTTCTCAATTTACATAAATATTCGAGAAGATATACTGGAAAGAACTGAAACGTTCGATTATCCAGAACGAAGTTTGATACTCATTCGCGAAAGTTACTATCTCGGTCGACCTTGCGTATTAACATTTTGAAAGGTTTTTTAAACGTAACGATCTCGCGAAGAGGTACATAAGAAAACATTAATTCCACCTACGCAGTGGGATTAAGGCTGAAAGGAGTACTTTGAAGGGGAAGGACTGTGAAAAGGACGCGTTCCTCAAAAGCTTTCAAGTTACTAGAGGCTAACGTTCACGTCGATTCCGATGAAGAAATTCTTTCATCGTCCTCCTCGAAACGAATCTCTTTTGCCGGCTCTTTGAAGACACAAGTCGGATTATCGGTAATCGTAAAAATGCCGTCCGATTCATGCCAAGTGGAGCAATCCGGCCGCTTTGTGCGCCACGACCAACACGCGAACGCTATCTTGTCGTCCGTGGAGTGCTTGTTCCTCGTTACTGCGAAAAAGTGCCTGGTCCTTCGGCTAAGACGACCGATAACCAGACTCTGATACCGAGCACTGATGAAGTTGTAGAGAACCACGAGAACCATTGATAATTGAAATATTTAAAGGAAATGAGTTAAAAAGGAGAAAGAAGTTCGAATGGTTTTGGAACTCTTCAAAGAATTGCACTTTTCATTTTTATGCCTAAATGTGAGAGAAGCTATTTTTTAAATAATTGATACAAATCGACAATATACTTATTCCAAAATCACGAAGAATTCAAAGGCGAAAGGGTTAATTATCAGCAATTGATAAATTAATAATAATGAATTAAATTCAATTGACTTTCAAAGAAATCTATCGAAAATCGAGTTTTCACAGAATTCAAACGGTGAATTATCAGCAATTAAAAAACGGAGGACAATGAATCAAGGAACTCTAAATTCCAACTACAAAATTCGACCAATTTCGACAAAAATCGACTTTTCAACCTTCCCATTAGCTACATCTCGAATTTTCTTACTCTGTTTCAGTCTGATCCATCGAGACACTAGGCCAGAACCAGCAATCAGGTGCTCGACGTTGCGAGGCGCGATGAGGTTGCCTTCAGCGCCCGATCATCGCAGCGAGGCTCGTCTGAGAACAGATCCAAAGGTGTTGGTCTTCGTGGAAACGCTGTACTCGATGCTGGGCAAGAACATAGCCGAGCTACTCGTCTCTAATCGAATTAAGTGAGTACGACATCTGGAATAATTGAAGGATTTTCAAGGAATATTTATGTCTCTACATCTCGAGTTTTCTTTGGATATGAGGAAAAATTAGGGTTAATTACAGTTTCTCGTTTCGATGGAGAAGTAAGAATTGAAAATGATGTAATGTGGATAGATTGTTTGGGATTATGCAATGGTACAGTTATAAGTTAAGTAAACAGGAATTGTGAAGTTAAATTAAATAGGTATCCTTGAAGTAAAGTGAACGAGAAGATGTCGCATGATTTTTATTAGAGAACATGGGAAAACTTTAGGTTTCTTCGTACCAAAGTAATAATAGACCGAATGACATCTTTATTTCGAGAAAACTAGAACGTTTTAACGCGTCTACTTGAACTCGTTCTACTTAATCGCGGCAAATTGGAACGGTAGGTAGCCGTGTGCCTAAACATCCTTGATCTTAACTCGATTTAATCCCCGCTGAAAACGAGCCGCAACTCGTTCGTGTGATATCTCACAATTATTGAACCTCGTTAAAAAGTCACTTAATAATTACTAACGAGAACATCTCGAAACTGATTTTAAAGGACATTTTTTAATGCACTGAAATTTTCGTTGCGCTCCCTTTAAAAATTTCAGGTTTTCGCCTCGCGACAATTTTTTGGCGAGGGTACGATATGTCGGATATAAGGAACTAAAGGACAAAGAAGGAATCCGTAAGAATCGATCTTTTTAGCGGTACTTACACAGAGAGAACGGTGGCAAAAAATGGTGGTGGGAGGGGTTGGCGTAACAAGGGGAGGATTTAACGCGAGGAAAGCCCCGTGCTTCTATCCACCGGGTTAACGGGAGTCTTGAGCCGGAGCCTGTTCACCTGATTCTTGGATAATCGCGCAATAATGACCGGCTAATGCAACGTGATGGCTGGCCGAGCCACGGCGGCTGCGGGGAATTAGTGCAGGCACGAGCTGTTCGTGAGGCCGACAAGGATGGAACGACTCGAGAGAGAGAAGATGAGAGAGGAGAGAAGGAATGACTCGAGAATAGAATGAAAAATAGAGGGAGAGAGACGTAGAGAACAGAGAGAGAGCCTCCATACCTACGACTAGACAAGCGAGAGAGAAGCTGCGTAGCTGTGACTGGATAACAGATAGAGACAGATAGCGGTAACGATATAACCACCCACACAGCACGACACGAGACTGAATGAAGCGTCATAGGTAGATAAAGTGACAGGATCGGAGTATGACAGAGAGCATGCAAGTTACGTGTCTTCGTACACCTCTACGCACCTGTCTGTGTGTACACAGAAGGGGTCGGTGTGTTTCGGTGGAACGGGTGGTGTGTAACGCGAACGGATGGCGTGACACAGGGGGTGTGTAAGTCGTAGGCCACGAGAGAGAGAGACACGGGACTCGATTTGCGTGTGTTTTGTGTGTGCAACCAGCGCGCGGCACACACTGTGTCTGTCATCCGATAATCGGAAAGCCAACCCGGCGCACCTGTACACGGTCTCCCTGACCAACGCACGCACGAGCGAAAACCCAGCCCGAAACATAGACCTGCGAGTGTAGGAGCGAGCAAGAGCTATAGCTAGCCAGACTCGCCTCTCGTTTGCTTTATCCGGTGCAATTTCATAATCGATAATCGAGGCCGACACTGCCCACCACACTCTCGCCGGACAACGTCCAGCCGCGTTTGCAGGCCAGGCCAGGGAAATTTTGTTTTCGGAGATTGTCAGACGAGTCCGGATCCCGGTGTGTTTGACCAACCGACTCGACCCGAGACGCGTGCCACTGCTAGAGCCGTGTTTGCTAATATTGCGGCTTAGAGACGCTTCAGGAAGGGCTTGGGATTTTTATTTTCTTCGTACGTGGTGATCATTTTTGGGGGGGAATTATTCTTTTCTTTTAATATGGTTTGTGTTGCGACCTGATGAGGACGCAACGAAGTCTCGGTTCGGCGGATTATAGTAATAAACAATTTAGTCACATTTGGCCGCCAGACCGAGGTGCCGACGTTCGGAAGACCGCAATATACCCCCCGTGGACTCACTCAGACAATAGGTCCCAAAAACACTCGGGATCATAAAATATTCGTTACCGGGGATCGAATTTGTTTACAACAAATTTTTACAACACAGTTTTCGTCGACCAATAGCCGAACACACCACGTTTTCCACCTCCATAACACAACCACCAATCAGAACCAACCTAATGCCTATACATACATCTATACACCTGAAAACCGACAATCACAGTAAAACGTGAGCACGAGACACATCGTCAAAAAAAAAGAATAACCGAATTTCAACTAAACATCTATCAAACATCTACATCAACGAACCGAAAGAAAAACATCTAACCTAACAACCAAGTTTCAATACACCTCGAACCAGCGAGAACTATCATCAACCTGCGCCAGAACTCCTGATCGTAAGACTTGATCAAAGTCCACGACGCAACAGTTTGTGACAAGAGTTCCTCAAAGGGTTAAATACAGAGTAGATCGAAGGAATTATTGACACATTCGTAACAATCAACCACTCGTAAACTCCATTTTAACTAATCAGAATTTAGTTTAGTTTAATGGACGATACACCATCAGCAACAGAGACATTTTACAAATTTCGTAATTTATACTTTGTAAAATATGCCTAATCTAGTCACCAAAGGAGTGTTTCTCATTTCATACAGTCCACTAAATTCAATTTTTGAGACGTCTACCATTCGATCTCAAGTCGGTGTCGTTTAATCATTGCGAAACTCACCGTCAACGCTGTGACGCACAGACAATGCATACATTTGAATAACTCAGTCCCGTGTAATTTCTAAAATAAGATTAGCCGTATTGTTATTCACAAAAGCGATCGTTAATATCACGAAGCCATAAAAGCCTCGTACACAGTCCAAGTGAAACGAATAAGTAAGCATAATACTATTTGAACATGTACACCACGCGTCGCGTCGCGCCGAGGGGCGAGTAGAATGATTCCGATCGTAGTCAGACAGCTCTATCCATCACAGCGGGACACAGGCCATGCTGCCAGGTACAATAATTCACCCATTACCCCGACTCTGCTATCACCGTTCCATGAACATCGGTTTTAACCCGCGCGATATTATTAATCCTTTTATCACACTCGTCTGCAAAGGGCGTGTCGGGGTAATCAGAAAAACAAACACGATCATCGTACTGCAGTGAAATATCGAGCTCTCTCTCTCTCTCTCGTGGTTCGTCGAATAAAACACAGCACGAACAGAGACATAAGACAAAAACGAGCCCTGTTTCAGAGGAGAAAGTGAGGGGAAGAGGATTCATCGTTTATGCATTCCCCTCTCTGTGTCTCTCCCTCGATTTAAACAGCCGCGTGTCCTCCAATATATCAAACGAGATGTCGTAGACAGTGGTGCACGCGCTATTTCATGGAAAACGCAGTCAGGCAGGCAGAGAGTCTGGCACACACGTTTCTTATCCGAAAAAACAATGTATCAGGTGTTATCGATCGATGTTCCCAACCCTTTCTCGCTCTTTCTCCGCGCTTCCGCCGTTTCCACCGTCGTTATTTTTTAGCATCCCCCGGTACTAATGCAGTCTGCACCACGACACTCGTTACTCGTGACATCGACACGAGGGTGGCGGCACGGACCTGGCAGAGGGTAAACGTTCCACGGCACGTCGCCAGGGGTGGAAACGCCGATCGACCCTCTCTTACGCGTATTTTTTTCAGCTCGTCTCTCCCTCTGTCGCTGTGTGTCTTTCTCTATCTTTCTCTCTGACACTCTGCGTGTGTACTTCTCTCTTTCTCTGACACTCTGTGTGTGTTCCTCTCTCTCTCTCTTTCGCTATCATTCTGTGAGTGTATTTTTCCCTCTTTCTCTGACACTCTGTGTGTGTATCTCTCTATTCCTATCGCCTCTTCGCTTCAATTTTTTCTCCTCTCCGCCACCCCCCGTTGAGACTATCCCTCATATTCCCCAGGGCCCGAAGAAAAAACAAATGAACGGCGTGCCATTCGTGATCCAAGATGTCTGACGATGGCTAGGGTGAGCTGAACCCGACTACATTCGATCGACTACTTATAAAACGCTGAAAAACCAGTTGTATAACCATAAAAATATCAATAATTCAACAAAACTAAGACTCGATAGAACAAACGTCGAATAATTTTCTCCCCTCTGCGATCACCACGCTCGATCAATTTCAGTATACTTCGCAACAAAGATACTCTCGATACAGTCGTACAAAATTGGACAGTGGACGTTTTATAAATATCCTCTCTATCGGTCGATTTTTTTTTCAGTTCCCATTGGAACCCGGATTGTACGTGATTCCGATAACAACGCAACGTTTCCCCCTCTCTGGAATTATCCCAAAAGTCATTAGCAATGGCTGTGATGGCGGTGTCAATCTCGTGCACACGCCACACGGAGCGTAGCTTCATAAATATACGACATTTCGTACGTCTGCTCGTCCTGACGGTTGTTCCTGCGCCCCGGGACATGACGTACGAGCGACAGCGACCGGACTTCGCGGATTTCCGTTCGAAATAAATATGTATCTGCCGGGGCAGGGCTTCCGACGTGACTGCTCTTCCAGGCCTATGAAAATACTCGTGTATTTTGTACTTCCTTTTTCTCTTTTAATACACCATTTTATTTTTATTTTTATCTTTTGTTTGTACACGGTCGCATCTGCGAGATGGGGGGGAAATTATGAATGAAGAAACCAGGTGCAAACGTGTCGACTGGTTTTCTGTTTAGAAATTTTTAGGGCTTTTTAGGATTTCTCAAGTTTGGATTCTTGCTAGAAAATCGGAGAATATTTTTTCACTGCATTTCTTTGAATAATGTTCACTAAGAGGAAATTAATAGTTCGATAAAAATCCCTTTGTTAACCCTTTCATTGGCATTTTGAAAATTCAACAGTTTAACGGTACACTTTCACTTCAATTTTTTCATTTGCAAATTTGAAACAACAGATTTCGCATCTACTAAAATTTGCCGCAGCGAAAGGGTTAA